TCTCTGTGTGTCTCTGTGTGTCTCTGTGTGTCTCTGTGTTTCTCTGTGTGTCTCTGTGTGTCTCTGTGTGTCTCTGTGTGTCTCTGTGTGTCTCTGTGTGTCTCTGTGTGTCTCTGTGTGTCTCTGTGTGTCTCTGTGTGTCTCTGTGTGTCTCTGTGTGTCTCTGTGTGTCTCTGTGTGTCCCTGTGTGTCCCTGTGTGTCTCTGTGTGTCTCTGTGTGTCTCTGTGCGTCTCTGTGCGTCTCTGTGCGTCTCTGTGTGTCTCTGTGTGTCTCTGTGTGTCTCTGTGTGTCTCTGTGTGTCTCTGTGTGTCTCTGTGTGTCTCTGTGTGTCTCTGTGTGGTCTCTGTGTGTCTCTGTGTGTCTCTGTGTGTCTCTGTGTGTCTCTGTGTGTCTCTGTGTGTCTCTGTGTGTCTCTGTGTGTCTCTGTGTGTCTCTGTGTGTCTCTGTGTGTCTCTGTGTGTCTCTGTGTGTCTCTGTGTGTCTCTGTGTGTCTCTTTGTGTCTCTGTGTGTCTCTGTGTGTCTCTGTGTGTCTCTGTGTGTCTCTGTGTGTCTCTGTGTGTCTCTGTGTGTCTCTGTGTGTCTCTGTGTGTCTCTGTGTGTCTCTGTGTGTCTCTGTGTCTGTGTGTCTCTGTGTGTCTCTGTGTGTCTCTGTGTGTCTCTGTGTGTCTCTGTGTGTCTCTGTGTGTCTCTGTGTGTCTCTGTGTGTCTCTCTGTGTGTCTCTGTGTGTCTCTGTGTGTCTCTGTGTGTCTCTGTGTGTCTCTGTGTGTCTCTGTGTGTCTCTGTGTGTCTCTGTGTGTCTCTGTGTGTCTGTGTGTGTCTCTGTGTGTCTGTGTGTGTCTCTGTGTGTCTGTGTGTGTTTGTGTGTGTGTGTTGCTGGTCGACCGAACATATCGATTCTCTAGACAGGTCTCCAAGCACGGGGCGGAGATGCAAAATTGGCGACGTAACAGCACGTTGAACATTCATTTATGGTTAAGCTTGTAAGGGTGACCCGAAGCAAAGGTTTTAGCCTATGGTGGTTTCAATCAAGTTTTGGATTTGCAGTTCCACCCGCGCCCAGGCGCGCCCCTTGGCGGACGCCTTGCCCGTGCGTGGCCCCGAGGGCGCATGGTTTGTGGATGCTCTGGAGGCTATTCTGAGAGTCCGGCGCAAGGATGATGCGCAGCGACGCAGTCAGGAGCGGAATGTCTTCGCCGAAGATGCTTTTCCTGGGGCAGCCTGGGCAGCGCATCAGGTGCTCAAGGCGATGCCAGCCGAGGGGGGGCCAGGAGTCTCGACGATGCTGCGGCCGCGGAGGTGGCAGAGCCGTTTGGGTCGGTCAGGGAGCGAGTGGTCGCTTGCTCCGGGAGTGGCTGCCGCTCGGGATCGATGGCGACAGGCGCGGAGAAAGCCATCCGCTCTCCTGGATGGCAGTTGCGTCACTCCCCGACATCATGGGGAACCGAAAAGGTTACACCTGTCCAGCTGCATGCGGCAAGTTCTGCTGCCATGCCAGCCCAGCACTTTGGGGAGACAGTTTCCGGGGAGCGCACGCGAGCAAATTGCAGAGCCATTGGGGAGAGCCGTAACATGTGATACATATGTCTGCGTCGCGTCGGTTGTTTTTGGGTCTTCGTCGTCTTCCTCACGTTCGTTCGTCCGCCTCTTCTTGAGTTCCTGTGGGACAGTCTTGGGGTTCCCTTGGACCACTTCGTGCCGTCTGAGGATCCTCTTTGGCCGTCTTGGAGCTCTCTCAGGCCGTCGTGGGGCCCTTTAGGCCGTCGGGGTGGGTTCTAGCGCCCATCGTGGGGCCGTCTTGGGCCGCCGAGAGGCCCTCTAAGGCGGTCCTGGGTCCCTCCGGAGGCCCTCTTGGGTCAGCTCGGAGCTTTTTGTAGGCCGCCCTCGGTCGGCTCGGGTTTTTTGGGGTTGTCTTGAGGCCGTCTCCGGGGGTATTGGGCCATGTTGGGGCCCCCTTGGACATGTTGGATCCATCTTGGAGTTTTGAGGGCTTTTGGAGCTGAACTGACTGACAGACCATACACTAAGCGGTGCGTGGGCATGAACGCTGGCTTTAAGAAGAGCCTAGGTCTTAGCTACACGCCGGGCCACTGCAGTCGGCTTCCAGTGAGAAGTTGTACTTGTGCGCTGAGGGCCAAGGGCAACACAACGGTATCCGAAACGGTGAAGCCACCCAAATGTTTGAAAACCATTCGGGGATCAACGATGTTGGCTTCTTCGGGCCCTGCTGGGGTCTCCGGTCGCCCTCTTGGGCCGTCGTGAGGGTCACTTGGGCCGCATTGAGGCCACTTCGGACCGTCTGGGGCCAGCGTGGGCCGTCTTGGAGGCATCTTAGGCCATTTGTGTCCTTGCGTCTTCCCCTTCCTCCTCCTCCTCCTCCTTCTCTTCCTCCTCCTCCACCTCCTACTCCTCCTCCTCTTCCTCCTCCTCCTCCTCTCCTTCCTCCTCCTCCTCCTCCTCCTCCTCCTCCTCATCATCATCATCATCCTCATCCTCATCCTCATCCTCATCCTCATCCTCCTCCTCCTCCTCCTCCTCCTCCTCCGCCTCCTCCGTCTCCTCTTGTGATTGATCCGGCTGCTCGCGGCATTCTCCTCGACCCCGCGCCGAGCTCTGCTGGACGCATGCCTCTGCCCACGCGCCCACTGGCGCGCAGTCTGCTCTGCACCGTTCCGGTGGCCCGCCCCTTGCCGTCCTGGGAGCTCCGGACGCGCGGGCCCAGCGCTTCCGCGAGGGGCCGTGGCCTCGGCGTGCGCGGGTGTCCACAGGTTCCGCACGAGGGGCCGTGGCCTCGGCGTGCGGGGGGCTGCGCGCAGCACCGCGCTGGTGCCGGGGTGGCTCGGTGTCTGTTCCTGGGAGCCCTGGGCGGCGACACTGGAATCGGCGCTTCCTGCATGTGGACCGCGCAGGGGCCGCGTGTGGCCCGTCCTTCTGCTCCTCCTCTCCCCTCCTGTTCCCCCGCTTCCTCCTCGTTCTTCTAGTCCCGCGAATCCACTCCAAGTCTGGTCCAAGTTTGTTCCAAATCCGGTCCAAATCAGGCCCAAATCTGACAGCGCCGGGGGCCACGCAGGCTCCCATGGAACGGACACCAGAGGGTGGGCTCCTTAGGAGGCAGCGGCAGCCCTACCGGGCAGCCATTGGCATCCTACAGCGCCGCAACGTGCCAAGGGGCACGGTGGCTCATTTCGCAGTGTGGCCATGCATCTGTACGTAGGGAAGGGCACAGACGACGATCGACGGGTAGCGACCCAGTGGATCTTCCATCATGGAAGCAGTCGAGCTTCGAATGGTCTAGTGGCGAATGGTAATTCGGGAAGGTTGGTTCCCAGGTTGGACGACTTGCGAAACGAGTGTGGGATAGGCTGTCGCGAACAGCATGTGATTAATCTCGAAATAAGGCCGTGTCGTGTGCATCACGTGTTAGATGTGTCCCAACATATACGTCTCTTCCACTGCACACAAGCTCAACGTGTTGGTGTGCGTGCACTTGTCATACTTTGGGTATTGGTCCCGTCAATGAGGTGGAGGTCGTCTACATTGTACCATGATGACACGGTGGGTACGCACGTTGATAAGAATGAATGGTTTGTCGATTCGAGCTGGTTTGGGAGGGTTCTACACATTCACCTGTGTTTATGTAAATTCCCTGCTTCAGGCGATATGTACACGGATCTCCGGCAAGGCAGCTTGTTGTAATCGATGTTTATAATTCGATGTGGATTTTGTATGTGTGCGGCCATGTTTCCCCATGCTCTAAAACAGAGTTGCATAGGCTAGAATGGTATTGGTCACGAGGTGGCGTCCGTTGACACTCGCCGCGCATGAAGTGCATGAGTCCATTCTTTTTTACGAGTCAGGGCATTCCGTGTGCACAAGGGCTGTGAGGACGCAGGCAGGTATATATTTGAGAGCAGGGGCGGTTGAGGAGCGGCTTTCGTTCAGAAGCGAGAGAAGGCGGAGGACTTGTGCGGGCGTAGCATATATTTGAGCTAGGTTTTGGAGTGAGTCGCTGAGCGCGCGCGCAAACTAGGTTGTGTTGCACTTGGTGGTTGAGTCGGAGGGCGAGACATGAGTATGTGGATGAGTATGTAGTTTGGTTAAGACCGCCGCCCCGGTGATACACTAGGTCTGGGGCATGTGGTCTGCTTTCGATTGACGATGGTCTCACGCCGAAATTCTTGACTCACTGATTTGACGATATAGCTGTATGGGTATATGGTTGCCAGGGCGTGGGCCTTAAGCAGAACGTTCTTGCATTACCGATCTGATTTCCATGCTGTGCAGTTGATGGAATGCCACCTACGTTGTGCAGTATATTTACACGATGCAATATGTGGTGCAACCAACGGGCTGCAAGAACGTCATTGATGCTCTTTAATGGGTTGTCAAGCCCACTGTTCGCGCAACCATCCCACCCTCCGTCCCGCAACTTGTTTTGAGAAAAAAAACGATGTTGCCGCGATTGCGGTGACTTGTCGGCAATGGTTGGTGCATCTTTGCGGCTGCGCTAGCGACCGCAAGCTCGCGCGCAGAGTGGCCAGCTGGTTTGGCAACCGATGCGGCCGTGATGGCGTTTACGGGTAGTGCGGGTTGGTAATTCGGTTGGGCGCCGTGTCGTGATGACGCCGGCAACGACGGCAACTACGATGATACGAGCGATGGCGGTTGCAATGATGCAGATGACGACAATGCCAATGACGGCGCAGATGCCCGTGACGTCGATGATGAACATGGGATCCAAGTGTCGGTGGTGAAATTGATTGAGTGGTGATGGTGGCAATGTTTGCGGTTGGCGGTGATTGCATCGGCGGTGATGTGGCGGCGCAGGTGTTGGCGATGGTGAGGAAGTGCGCTCGCGGAAATGCAAGAACCCGTGTTGTTTTGTTAGAGAAGCGTTTGTATGTTTTTGTCCGTAGGGCTTCGAAATGTAGGGTGTGGGTGTGTGGAGGAGTGAGGGTGTGGGGGTGTGGATGCATGGGGGTGTGACAGGGGTGTGGATGTGGGTGTGGATTTGGGTGTGGGTGTGGGTGTGGGTGTAGGCGTGGATGTGGGCGTGGGTGTGGGTGTGGTGGTGTGGTAATGTGGACGTGTGGGCGCGTGGATGTGTGAACATGTGGACGTGTGGACGTGTGGACGTGTGGGCGCGTGGACGTGTGGGGGTGTGGGGGTGTGGGTGTGTGTGTGTGTGTGTGTGTGCGTGGGGGTGTGTGTGGGGGTGTGTGGGTGTGGGGGTAGGGGGGTGGGGGGATGGGTGGGTGGGGGGATGGGGGGTGGGGGGTGGGGGTGCGGGTGTGTGTCTGTGTGGGTGTGTGGATTTGGGGGTGTGCGGGTGAGGGCGGGGGAGGGGGATGTGTCGCGGTTCGGGTGTGGGTGGGTGGGGTGTGCGGTGTGGGTGGTTGTGGGGGTGTTGGGGTGTGGGGGGGTGGGGGGGTGGGGGTGTGAAGGTGTGTGGGTGTGGTGTGGGGTGGTGCGTGGGGGTGTCGGGGTGTCGGAATGTGGGGGGGGGGGCGGTGGGGGTGTGGGGGTGTGGGCGTGTGGGGGTGTGGGGGTGTGGGGGTGTGGGGGTAGGGGTGGGTGCGGGGGTGGGGGGTTGACTGTTGGGGTGTGTCTGAGGCTGTGGCTGTGGGTGTGGGGGTAGGGGTCGTTGGGTGTGTGGGTGGGTGTTTTAATGTTGATATTGTGTATGTATGAAGTACCTGTGTGTGCGCCCGTGCGTGTTCAGAGGTGTTTGAACACCCCTCATGTTGAAGTGAGCTGTCCCCAAACAGCGTTTACATGTAGGGTGTTTTTACTTGTCCTGGAAGGAACTGGGCTCATGTGCCGCCCCGGCCGGCTTGTTCTCGCCCCGTCGCCGCCCGTCGCCGCCTCGTTGCGGGCACGTCGCGGGGTTATCTTGTCCTGATGTAGCTTTCCACCACACCACATAGACGTTCTCCTCTCTACAGGAGTTATGGATTTTACCCCCCCCTTCCCGAGGACAGAGTTAGCGATCCCCTCTCGCGATATTTGAGTTGCATATGATTATGGCCCGGTTGCCCACTTTACATATGAATTCATACCATCCCAGCCAAATGGTACCGACTCCTCCCCGCCATCATCTGAAAAAACTACGCGCGCGCATTTGTTTATCAAAACCCATGTGTTCAATAATCCCTTGCAGAAAAATATGTCGAAGTGTGCACGCGCGCTTCGTCGCGCGCGCATGCCACATTTTCATCAAAATCTAAGGTGTCGTAAGGATTCCGAGATCACAAGACACGAAAACACATGGTTGCGCAACACATGGTTTCAACAAAAAAACTGCGCCCGCGCTCTTGCGGAATGTTTGAGAGAACCATCATTTTTACAATTTGTTCATTTAATTATGCCAAGCGGGCCTTTCGCGCGCGCATGCCGAAATCGCTGGAATGCCCTTGCGCGCTCGCGTTGTCGCAAGAATCCTTTGGGAAAAAACGGAACGGAATCTTTGAAACACCTCAAGTGTTGCAAGGGATTGAAAAACGAATGCCCCGAAAACATATGAAACACACATGGTGTGGCAATATCCGTTTTCAAAAGAAAGCCTGCACTTGCGTTCCTGCGGATTCTCCAGGAAACCATAGCTTTTCCAAACGGGCCGCTCGCGCCGCATGTCGAACTCGTTCGAACGCCCTGGCGCGCGTGCTGGGAGGCACGCACCGTGTCCAAGAATACCACGCGGATCACTCGCGCGCGTCGGCCTCGCGCGCATGTCGAACTCCTTCAAAAACCTGCATCGCCGACGCGAGGACATCGTCATCGCTACCGGCGGGCGCGATCAACATCGACGCCGTCATTGGCGGTGCCGTCGTCATCGCCTCGTCACCATCAGCGCTAATCTCAGCATCGCGCCCGCCGTCGTCGGACTCGCCACGATGCCGCGACCGCCCAAGTAGATCACCGACTCGCACTGACGTGCCCGCTGGGAAGTGCCCAGCGGTCCGCGCCAGCGCGGCCGCGTCGGTCTCGCCAAACTAGCTGGCCGCTGCGCGCGCGAGCATGCGCGGGCTAGCGCGGCCGCTGATGCACCAGCCAACGCCAAGCACTCACCGCAATCGCCGCCGCATCGGTTTTGCAAACCAAGTTGCGGGTGGGCGGACGGGATGCGTGCAAGGGCGTGGAGTTTGTCAGTTCGTTTGTAGAAATCCATTACACCACCCCTGGCAAGCGGGGGTCGGCGGATTTGGTGGTGACACACGCGCATCCTTGCTATGTCAACGCGCACGTTCCGAATGGTACTGTGTGACACGGATGACAGAAAGAGGCGATACCGGCTTGATTCTGGCAGGGCGATTTCACATGAAGGGTGAATTACCGCACAGGATCAACATTGAAAGTCAACGTAGTGGAAACATGTCCTAGGGGCGACTTCGAGGCCCATTTGTGATTCAGTCGTGTTGCTTCGGCGTTGTCACACTATTTCCGTACATCCTCGTTCGCCTTCGCCCAGGAATACCCGAGAGCGCCTAGCGAATTCCGAGAACAAACCAGCGTCACGTAAAGATCGCTATGGATTCCGAATCTTGCATAGACGTCGAAAGAAACCTTTGGAAAGCCTCCACCCCCTTGCTCCCTCCCCATTCGGCTTCCTCCCCATCCATCTTTCCGCTGCCGAACTTTTCGGACCCCTTGCAATATCTCCCGAACCTCCAAACATCGACCCCCATGACAAACCCTCACACTCACCCCGTTGGCAAGCGACTATGGCTGAGGCGAGGCAGGCGGCAGCCAGCGCGCCACAGGTGAGCGACAACCGCAGGACAGAAATCCTTGCAGCAAGCACTGCGAACATGGGCCGCGATGTCGCCCGAGACAAGCAGACAACGCAATCGACACGCACTCACACACACACACACCACGGAACACCACAATGCGACTCCAGGGTCTCAGGGTTTTCTTCTTTCGGACGGCGTTAGGATGAGGACACATCCGTTCCAAAGCTTTCCGGAGGTTCTCCGAGCGTTCCGAAACGTCCGAGCGCCGCGGCGCCCCATAAATTTATATATATATATATATATACATATATATATATATATATATATATTCCAGAGCCGCCAGATTTCCAAGATTCTCGAGCGACCCTCACCCGAATGTGTCTTCGTCCTGGCTCCGTCTCGGGGCGTTCTTCCCCGATCCTCCTGCCCAGGCTGCTGGTCTCCGTGCTCCTGCTCTCCGCCACGGGCCTCTACCTCACCCTGCCCCCCGCGGACGACGGCGCGGCGCTGTCCTCGCCACGCAGACAGGCGAGCACCGGGCTTTTCCGCATTCTCCAGCTTCGCCTCCTCCTCCTCCTCCTCCCCCCTACTCTCTCCTCCAACAACCCTCCCTCCTCCTCCCCCTCTCCTCTTCCTTCCCTCCTCATCCCCCCTCCTCCCCCTCCTCTCCCACCCCCATCCTCCTTCCTCCTCCCCCTCCTCCTTTTCCTCCTCCTCCTCCTCTGGTTCTGGTTCTCGGCGTCCGGCAGGTCTTCTAATCATTTCTCCAGACGAGGGCGTGGCAATGTCCACCGCTGGGACCAGTCCGGATGGACTTCCTGGTTTAATCCAGGCTGGACACGGGATCCCAAAATAATTTGAATTTTGTTGGCGGTATGTTGCGCAGCCTATGTTGTAAAGACAGATCAGGAATAGTTTGGCATTGAGTATTTTAAGATTACTTGGGGCATTCCGCCTCCGCGGGGCGCATCATCATCATCAACAGCAGCAGCATCTGCATCAGCATCAGCATCAGCACTATCACCATCATCATCATCATCATCATCAGCAGCATCAGCATCATCATCATCAGCATCATCATCATCATCAGCATGATCATCACCATCGTCATTATCATTATCCTCAGCATCAGCATCCGCATCCGCATCAGCATCATCCTCCCCCCCCCTCCTCCCTCCTCCCCCCCTCCTACTCCCTCCTCCTGCTTGGAGCACGACGCGTAGCAACGGTGCCGCGGATATTGATTTCGCTCTGCGAAGCCCCGAGCTGCCGCTGAAGCCACGCGCTGGCACTGCATTTGTTGGCTACACCCCAGTCAAAAGGCTCCTCCTTCCTTCCTCCTCCATCCCCGTCCTCCTCCCTCATCCTCTGGCGTTCTGGCGTAGGTGTCATTCAGGTTCCCTACGCTTGTGTGCTTTAAGTTCATAGCAGGCGTCAACGGGCCACTCTGGCTCGGCGTTAACCTGATTTGTATGCAGCCATCTCGCATCCATAAACGACCGTGGCTGCCCATGACACAGGGTCTCCACCGTGGCGCCCCCCCCCCTGGGCGGCCAGGGGTCTTGGACGGCGCCTCCTGGCGCCTCCCCGCTGCTCCCGTTGGCCCGTGCTGCAGGTCCACACGACGCCGGGGGCAAACGAAACGGAGAGGCTCACAGGCTGCTGCGTCGGTGGCGAAAAATGATTCGCCATGTCAGAGTGAGGAGGCCGAACGCTCAGCCGCGACCCACCCCGCGACCCACCCCGCGACCCACCCCGCGACCCACCCCGCGACCCACCCGGGACCCACCCCGCGACCCACCCCGCGACCCACCCCGCGACCCACCCCGCGACCCACCCTGCGACCCACCCCGCGACCCACCCCGCGACCCACCCGCGACCCACCCCGCGACCCACCCGCGACCCGGCCCGCGGCCCACCCGCGACCCACCCGCGACCCATCCCGCGACCCATCCCGCGATCCACCCACATTGCCTTAACGAAGAAATCGGCGCTTGCGGCGGGCTCACTGCATAATTTGTAAAAGTTAGGCGCCTGCGGCGGGCTTCTTCAAAGCCTCGCAGACTGACGACGTCCTCGCCGCCCCCTCACTCTTATCTGCAACTGCGGGGTACTACGTATGGTATATGTTGCTGGTTCTCCCTGTCTCTCTCTTTCTCGCTCTGGTTTGTCCTTCGTTCCTCTCTGTTCCCATCCCTTCGCCCCCCCCCCTGGTCCCACGCATCTCCTGCATCCGATCCTTTTCGTCTGTTTCCGTTTTCGCCTCTCGCTATATGTTTTCTGTTTGCTCTTTGTTTCTTCTCTCTCTCTCGCTCTCTCTCTCTCTCTCTCTCTCTCGCTCTCTCTCTCTCTCTCTATTCCTCTCTGTCTTTACTTCCCCAATCAGAGCTTGCCTCTGTAGGGGTCCTAGCATATTCGTATGGTTAGGTGAGCTTTGCCACCGATTTCCGCGGCACGCCTGGGTGCCCAGGTGCTTGATAGCCCTATAGCCTCATAGCCCTACAGCCTTACAGCCCCATAGCCCCATAGCCCGATATCCCAATAGCCTTATAGCCCCATAGCCCTATAGCCCTATAGACTTACACCCCTATAGCCCTATAGCCCCGTAGCCTTACATATATAGACCTATAGCCCAATCGCCCTATAGTCCTATAGCCGTACAGCCCTGTAGCCCTATAGCCCTATAGCCCAATCGCCCCATAGCCCTATAGCCCTATAGCCCTACAGCCTTACAGCCTTATAGCCTTATAGCCCTGTAGCCCTAGAGTCCGATAGTCCTATAGCTTGATATACCTATAGCCCCCTATAGACCTATAGCCCTATGGCCCTATAGCCCCAGAGCCCCAGCGCCCCGCAGGCCTACAGCCCTATAGCCCTATTGGCCCTATTGGCCCTATAGCCTTATAGTCGTATAGACCGATTGCCCTGTGGCCCTACAGCCCTACAGCCCTATAGCCCCATAGCCCTAAACAAATTATGATTGGGTGCTGTTCCGGTAGTTGTTGTTTCTCTCTCTCTCTCTTTCTCTCTCTCTCTGTTTCCCCGTATGTAGAACTTCCCCGCCTTCTCTTTACGCTTCTCGCTTTCGGACGGCTCGGAGCTTCGGTTTACTTCGGCGACGACTCGATTGACAACGGGGGCCCATGAACCAACACATTGCAATAGCATGGGTCGGTTTCGGCGCTCCAATAGAGATTGGAAAACCGCCCGACTTCAATCAACATATGTACGTTTCCGCGGTGCCCGTCGACGGCTTCGACGAAGTTCCCGACGCGAGCGACAGATGGGTTTCAAACAATCCGTCGCGTCACTAGAGGTTCGGCTGGACATCATACGATACGAGGCGGAGGCTCGGGGCTTTGCGGTGCATCTGGCGGATTTCGTTACCGTCGCGCCCTCTTCGCCGTGGACAGTTTGGCTGTAGCACCCAGCGGGCAAGTGTAGTTCCCGCGCCCGCGGGTTCCTCCATCCTTTGCGACGGCTGCGCGCGCTGTCGGCAGCCGCATGGATTCGCCGCGCCGCGCGGCGGATCCCCAGTGAGCGCGCGGGTCGCGGACAGGCCATCGAGGACGGTTGTTTTGTTCGTCGGTCCGGTCTTCTCGGTCGACCAAGCGGCGTCCTCCCGAGCGTCGGCGGCAGCGAGCTACGACGCTGGTCGAAGAGAGGGCGAGGGTTCACCCCGGCCCCAGTCTTCCCATGAGCGGAGCGCCGTCGGTGCTCCAGCAACGCCGCCATCTCGGATGCCACGGCGGCAAACTATTGGGGTGCGGCCACGAGTTTCAAGAAGCGGCGGCGCTGGTCGAACAGGGGGCGGCGGTCGAGCAGGGGCTCGTCGACGGTGGCGGAGTGCGACGCCATCCCAATCACTTACTCCGTGAACTCCTTATCTGGGCGGCGTAGACAACACCGCGGGGATGGCGCTGATGGTGGCGTTTTGAAGCATGACATCCTTAGCCTGTCGAATGGCGAGGCGCCGCGCCTCTGGCGGTTCCGGCCTCGACTGGGCGGCAGGAGTCCCGGCGCCCTCTCGCAGTGGCCGGGCTGCTGTTCGACGCCTGCCTGGGGCCGAGCGAGGCGCGCCACCTCGCAGTGGGCAGCGCCGCGCGGCCTCGCTACTGCCGGGCGGCCCCCCCGGCAGCTTTCGAACGCGGCGACCTTGGGCGCCGCGTCATGGGGGGGTCATAAAAGGGGGGGGGGCGAGCGTGGTCCGAAAAGGTACCCAAACGGTACCTAAACGAGCCCCCTGGGGCTCTGGAGGGGCCCGAAAGGGGCACGAAAGGGGACCTTTTCTGACCCCCCCATTTGTGACCCCCCCATTAAGCCACGCCCAATGACCGCTGTTTCGCACTTCGCAGCCCACTCGGCGACGGCGAGGTCGAAGTTGGCTTCGCGCAAGACGGCTCTCCTGCCACCCCCCCAGGCAGCCTCCGAAGTCGGCGACGCGTTCCTTGTTCGCAGCCCTCCAGGCATGGCGAGGTCTAACCTTAGTCTGCGCGCGGCGTCACTCCGCTGCCCCTCCCCCTGCATTATATTGCGCGTTGCATGTTGCCCTTCTATCTCACGCGCCCCCCCGTTCGCCGCCGTTACCGTTTCGGGGCGCCTGCGGGTCGCTCGCTCTGAGGCGGCGAGGACATATCCCTTCCGTTGATATGCTGACGCGGGGCACAGGTATCCAAATACATTCCATTTTCTCTCTAGAGTGGAGGTAGTGACACATCGTTCGCCGACGGTGCGCCGACGATCGAGCGCGTCGCGCGGCGCGCGGAAGGTATGATGGAGCCCAGTTCCGAGGCGACGCGGACTCGAGTTCCGCCGCGCAGCGGCCAAACGGTCCTGCGCGGTGGCGGCGCGGGCATCGCCCCGACAGGTCGACGACGAAGCGCCAGAGCGATGGCACACCTCGGCGGGGCGGGGCCCCATCGACGCGGGATCGGCACGAGGCGCGGGCCCACAACAATGCTTGAGTCGGGCGCGTCCCTCTACAGGAGAACATTCGAGAATATGAAAAATAATACGCGGATGATTTTTCCAGATGTTTTGGTTCTTCTTGATTCCTCTGATTCCAACAATTGTTCTTCCGACATCCGCCCGCGGGAGGAAATGCCCGACCTAAAACTGCGCAGCGGGCGCGGGGCGGCTCAAACGACGCCCGCGTGGACCGCGGCTCCAAGGCAAGCTCGGAGGCCCGGCCGCGCCGGCGCGGGGGGCGCAAGCCAGGGTGGCTGAACCGGCCCGAAGATGCTCAGCGACTGCTACAACGAAAGCATCGGAAGCTGGCCAGAAGTGCAGGCACCCGACCCAGGCGAAGACCTGTGGGAGTACTTCTTCAAGTTGCGAAGGCGCAAGGGTGAAGCACCGGGTGCCTGGGCATTTCGGAGTCACGAGAGATGCCGGGAGATGCGACGCCCCATGCCTAGATTCGCACAAGGAGAAGCTCATCTTCCAGCTGTTCCACCGACGCCGATGCGCCCCCCAGCGGAGCCGACGGCGCGAGCACAGCGGGGCCATTATCCGCGACGACCCTTGACGTCCGACGGCGGCATTGGCAGCGACAACGACGCTGACAGACGCAGCCGACGACGAAGCCGGCAGGAGGGCACCGGAGAGGAAGAGGAGCCGACTGAACAGAACCGGCCACACGACGAATTGCGGCAGCCTTCGCCGTGGAGTTTCTTGCCACGGGGGGGAAACAGTCAGCCGCGAGATCGCGGCGGAGGCGGCCCCGGCTCGCGGGGCCTCGCGGCCGTCAAGGAAGCCGACGATGACGAGCAGCTCTCGGGCCGGGATCGCCCCTCAGAGATCCGAGCTGATATGGTCCCGCGGCGGTCTGGGCGAGCGCGAGAGAGCGGCGACCCTCGCATCGTCGCACAACGAGCTGCACTTCAGAGAGATCGAGGCGACCACGCGGGCGCGAGATCACCTGCGGGGCGGTGATCGAGCCGAGCGGGCCGACTGCGGCGCCGACGAGGCCGCTCGGGGCGAAGAGGGCGATGAGGGGCGGGGGGGGGGGGGGCGCAAACTACGGCCAAGACGACAGCCGCGGGGGCCGGGGCGAGGAGCCAGAGAGCGAGGGGCCCCGAGCAGCGCCGCTGGCGGCGCAGGAGGCCGAGGCGGGGGCGCGCGCAGCCATCCAGAGCGCGAACGGGACGCCGGGCGAGTCGCGGCAGCAGATGGCAGGAGCGAGACTCCGACGCGGCCTCTGGCCCGAGGGTCTGGGCCCGAGGCCCGCCGGCAGCCGCGGGGCAGCCGCGGAGCCTGGGTGCATGGCAAGTCCCCTGGAAGGTCGGACAAGGGCCAGATCGCAGGTGCACGCGCTCGCGGAGTCGGGGGCCAGTCGGGAGGAACTCCATCCGGCTTCCGCCCGCCCGCATGCCCCCGACGGAGCAGCGAGACCCAGTTCCGGGACGTGCTTCGGGCGCGGCGGCGATCGCTGGCCGAGCCAGTGCCCAGACAAGAACGACCAGCGCCTCAACGAGCCGAACGCGGAGGCATCGAGCCGGGCATCCGCGACAACGGCGGTGCAATGCGATCGCGGCCAGCATGCGACGACGACGATAGACATTTTCTTTCCAGCGCTGGAGGTCAACCAAGATGACGAACGCACCTGCTACTTGGCAATGGAGCTGATCGAGGACGGCGTCTTCATCCTGGACATTGGGGCTACGAGGAGTATTGGTGGCCCGCCGCGCCAGCAGCGGAGATGCTGGAGAACATATTGGGTCGAGACATTCGCGTGAACGTCAGCGGAGAGCGAAAAGCAGGCGTCGTCGACTATCTCCCTTCAGGTTATAACGGGAGATAAGCTGGGCAGTATCAACATCTTCGTGCTCGGCGTTGCGAAGCCCATCCTGCTCTCCACCGAGGCCATCCGAAACATGAGAGCGATCATCTGCTTCGACGCGAACGCGGCGATCTTTCCACATCTCGACAAGGTCGCGCAGCTCATGTTCGACGAAAAGAACGCTTTGGACACTGTGGACACTCACATTGTCGGGGTTCCGCGGGGCCGAATTCGCGAATATGGTCAGCTCCTCACGCGGGATCGACCTGCCAAAGAGGTCACCAGCGAAAGACGCCAACCGCATTACCATCGTCATCAGCATCAGCACCTGAGACTCAGACGGAGTGCACCATGGCCAACTTCTGGACCTCTCAGTCAGCATCGTTTGTCCGACCCCCATCCCCATCCCCATCCCCTTCAAGACCCCCACAAAACAACCCCCCCAGTTGGGGATGCACCCCTCGAAACCCGAAGGGGACGGCCTGTATCCCCATTTGGGGGGGTAAATCGGCCGGCGGGGCCCAGGCCACGCCGCTGGGGATGGGGATCGGATAAACGATACTCAGATGGCCCCCCCCCCCCAAGCAACATTCGAAAGTGGGGACAACTTCAATTTCGTTGCCCCCCAGCCGCCCCGACGATGCTGGCCCCACAGCAGCCCGAAAGTGGAGACAGCTTCACAAATCGTAGCCCCATAGGGATGACGAGGTCTAACCTGAGCCCGCGTCGGCCCCGACGGTGCTAACGACCCTTGCAGTCTTCGAACGTGGCGACAGTTTCGCAGTTCGCAGCCCCCAGGGATGGAGACGTCTAGTATGAACCCAAGTAGGCACCGACTATCGTGTCGTCCTCGAGGAACTCGCGAGTGTGGCAACATACTCACACTTCGCAGCCCTCCGGGGATGGCGAGGTCCAGTTTGAGTCCGCGTAGGCCCCAAGTCCATTGCATCCCCCCCCAGCAGTCTTTCAAGTCGAGACAGTTCTGCAGCTCGCAGCCCCCCAGGGTCAGCAGAGTCGAATCTGATCCCGCGAAGGCCCCCGCCGGTGCCCCCCCCTCAGCAGTCCCGGAGTGTGGCCACGGTTTCGCGCTTCGCTGCCCACCGGGGGCAGCGCGGTCGAGCTTGCGTCCGCGTAGGTTTCGATTGCGTTGACCCCCCCCCCGCGGCCCTCGAGAGTGGTGACAGTTTGGCAGATCATAACGGCGAGGTCTAACCTAACTCTGCGTAGCCCCTCAATTTTTGCCAGCCCCCCCCCGCAGCAGGACAAGAGAGGAGGCAGGTGTGAGGCAGGCGGTGGGAGGCGGGAAGGAAGGAAGGAAGGAGACGGAACCCCAGTGATCTATCCAAGGAGAGGAAGCCAACGCAGGAGGGTCTGGAAATACGATTGTCTGGCCTCGAAGCTGTCCACAATGTGATGCCCCGCTGCTTCTCCTGACTCCAAGCGGGCCGCACATCCATGATCAAGTCTATGGGTCAATCCCTTCTCCCCACGTTCGAACGTTTACTCTGTTATAATTCGCAGCGTCTTCGATCCACGCTTGGCTCATAACCCTCATCATCATCATCATCATCATCATCATCAGAATCAGCATCACCATCATCAGCAGCAGCATCATCATTGTCAGCATCACCACCACCACCATCATCAGCAGCATCAGCATCATCATCAGTGTCAGCATTATGATCAGCACCAGCATAATCCTCATAATCCGTATAATCAACGACCGTACCAACACCATCAACGTCACCACCAACATAATCACCACCATGATCATCATCATCGTCATCAGCAGCATCACCAGCATCATCATCATCGTCATCAGCTTCGTCATCACCATCAGCGCCAGTATCAGCATCATCATCGTCATCATCAGCTTCATCATCGTCAGCATGATCATCAGTAGCAGCATCATCATCATGATCCTCAACATCATCACCGTCCTCTTCATCACCAGTTTCACCATCATCATCATCATCATCATCATCATCATCATCATCATCATCGTCATCGTCATCGTCATCGTCATCGTCATCGTCATCGTCATCGTCATCAGCATCATTACCATCATCATCCGCATCAGCATCATCAGCATCAGCATCAGCATCATCATCATCCGCATCAGCATCAGCAGTAGCAGCAGCTTCAGCATCATCAACAGCAGCGTTATCATCAGCAGCATCATCATCAGCAGCAACACCATCCCTCGTTTCCTCCGCCCTCATCCCAACTCCCTTCCCCCCCTCCCTCCCCTCACTCCCTCCCTCCCTCCCCTCCGTCTCACCCCCCCGTCCCCCTGGTCCCTCTCTCCTCCTCCCGCCTCCCCCTCGGCCCCCGCCGCCCCCTCGGCCCCCCATCGCACTCCCCCGCCGCCGCCCGGACGCCGCCCGCGCCCGCCCGAGGCCCTGCGCGGCGAGGCCGCGCGGCCGCTCGCCGAGGAGGCCGCGCGGCGAGACCGCGTCGAGGCGCCGCGTCGCTGCCGAGGGGCGTCGAGGGGCGTCGAGGGGCGTCGAGGGCCACCGCGGGGCGTCTGCCTTTGGGAAATCCTCCTCCTCTTCCTCCTTCTCCTCCTCCTCTTTCTCAGTCTCCTCCTCCCTCCTCCTCCTCCCTCCTCCCCCTCCTCCTCCTCCGCCTCCTCATCCTGGGCCGGCGGACGGCCTCCGAACAAATACATGTGCTCCGCCTCCGGCCCCTGGCCGAGCCCCAGGGCCGCCAGGCCGGAACGGTGCCGTGCGGTGACCTCGGCACCCCAAGAGACCTCACCGCACGGCCTGTCACCGCACGGTCCTGGGACCTCGGAGGCCCCCGCCGCCCGAGACGGCCTCGGAGAGGGACTCGGGTCGTTGTCCGAGGACGTCTCGGGCGGCGGGGGCCTCCGAGGTCCCAGGACCGTGCGGTGACGGGCCGTGCGGTGAGGTTTTGGGGGCTTTCGAGGTCACCGCACGGTCTGTCACCGCACAGTTTCGGGACTCCACAGAGACCGGGCTTGAGGAGAGGGTTCAGACCTTCGGGTGGGTGGTAATGGTCATTGGCACCAACATCGCAGAGCGGATGTCGTTCGGAACGCAATGGGATGAGCCCGGACTGTCCTGGAGAGTTCGGTTCCGGATTTCGAAATGAATTTCGAGCGGTTTTATTCTGGCCAGGAATGAAGACTACAAACAAACCACGTGACATTCACTTCGTTCTTCGCTCGCTGTTTCGGGGTTTTGCATGGACAGAAATCCACGCAAAAATCTGCTGCAACACGTCGCCCACATGGGGGGTGAAGCAAAACAAGGCCCTCAAGGGGCGACTGAGGCTTGAGGTTTCGTTGGTGCCTCGGAGGGATTCCCGTCGCAGCGGCTGGGTTCCTTTCGATATCATAGTCAGAACTCGAGAGGTCTGTGGGCAGATTTGTTCGGCCTGGCCCAGGAGTCACCATGAAGAATCGGGGCTTGGAGGTGATTCGCGGGGTTCCCCCCCATGGCTTCCCCAGAGACCTCCAGAGACCCTCAGGGGTCCGCTAGACTCCGACCCCGCATTTTTGTTTACAAGCGCGAAGAAGCCCTGTGGCAAGGAGGGAGAGTGGGAGGGGGGAGGGGGAGGTAGGGAAGGGGGAAGAGGAGGCGGGGGAGGGGTAGGGAGGGAAGGACTCATCTCCCCGTACGTCTTGAGCTGAAGAATATACGACGGCCGGATCTTCCACGCGTTCGGTTTCCACGGGCCCGACGGCGAGAGGGTCGAGATCTCTGGAGACCGCGTCTCCAGAGGATCATGACGTCGGTGGCTTGGGAGCCTACAAAGCTCCACGCCCCCCAATTGAAACACCAAGTGATCCTGGCGAGGGACCCAACTATTTGCAGTTGTGAGTGCCGCGTTGTGGCACCAGTTTCGGTGGAGCTCCCCATGGGGAGTGTGCCGAAATGGGCGGTGGGGGCGCATGCCAACGTCGCCATTGGGGCCTCAGGTGGAGCTCCCTAGAACGCGGCCACGAAACGTGTGAGGGTCGTACCGGATGGGCGGGGGGGACGCACGCGAATGTCGCCACTGGGGTCTCAGGTGGAGTGCCCTATGGGGCCACGAAACGTGTAAGGTCTGTGCCGCAATGGGCAGGTGAGACGCATGCGAATGTCGCCACTGGAGCATCAGGTGGAGCTCCCTCGAACGTGGCCACGAAACGCGTGAGGGTCGTACCGAATAGGCGGTGGGGAAGCATGCGAACGTCGCCACTGGGGCCTCAGGTGGAGCACCCTATGGGGCCACGAAATGTGTGAGGACTGTGCCGCAATGTACGGAGGGGAGACGCATGCGAACGTCGCCACTGGGGCCTCAGGTGGAGCTCCCTATGGGACCACGAAACAAGTGAGGGGTGTACCGAAAGGGGCGGGGGAGTGGACGCATGCGAACGTCGCCACTGAGGCCTCAGGTGGAGCACCCTATTTGGCCACAAAACGTGTGCGGACTATGCCGCAATGGGCGGGGGGGCGCATGCGAACGTCGCCATTGGGGCCTCAGGTGGAGCTCCCTATGGGGCCACGCAACGCGTGAGGGGTGTGCCGGAATGGTCGTGCGGAGGGCAGGGGCAGGGAGGGGAGGAGGAGGAGGAGGAGGAGGAGGAGGAGGAGGAGGAGGAGGAGGAGGAGGAGGAGGAGGAGGAGGGAGTGAGGAGGGAGTGAGGAGGAGCCCGGGGCGCTGTCTTTTCAGAATTAGGAGCCAACACCACATGATGGTTGGGAAAAGCTGCACAAACGCAAGCTGGCGGAGGTCCGCGCAGTGTTCGCCGGTCGGGCCTGGGCCCACCGCTCCCTTGCGAGCAGAGCACGCCAGGGGCGCCGCCAGATGCGCTGCCAGGGGGGTTCAGCGCCGACCCTGATCCACGCAGACCTTCGAAACCCGGGGCTGGCATCAGACAGTCAGCCGATGCGGCGCGATCTCGAGCCCGATCTTCTCCATGCGGGCACCATCGATGCATAGTCGATGCATAGGCGGGGCGGGGCCATCTTGGGCCCCGTTCACTCTGGCCCCATTTCGGAGGCCCCGAGGGGAGAGCGAACGCAATCCACCGCCACCAAACCTCCGAAGACTTCCTCCAAGGCCAGATGGCTCAAGCAAGGCCTCCAGAGGCCGAAATTGATGAAGAACGCTGGCGTTGGAACATCACAACGTCGGAGGTCTAGGTTTCACGTCGGGCCCATCCTTGTAAAAGAATACTGACAAATTGACAAAAAAGTCTCGGGACGATCTGTTTTATTGAATCGCTTCGCTCATTCCGCCGGCCCGTGGGGGAGGGCCTCCAAGAGGCTTCGTTGGGGCCTCTTAGAGCCTCTTGGGGGCCTCCTGAGGGCTCTTGGGGGCCTCTTGAGGCCTCTTAGGGGCCTCTTGGGGCTTCCTGGAGGCCTCTCAGGACCGAGGGCTCGAAATGTTGTTTCGTGCTCCCCCTCTGGGGCCGCTCTTGGGGCGCTCTAGGGGCCCTCTTGGGCCGTCTTGGGGGCCTCTTGGGCCGTCTTGGGGCGTCGGGAAGCCGAAAAGGTGGAAACACCAAAATCTGTCCAAAACCTAAGGAGAAGCAATGATTTGTGCATCTTGAGGCCCTCTTGAGAGTGCTCTTGGAGGCCTCTTGGGGCGTCTGGGGGCCATCTTGGGCGTCTTGGAGCGATCTTGTGGCATCTTCTAGCCCTCTTGTATCATCTTGGGGGCCTCTTGGAGGCCTCTTGACCCTTCTCGGGGCTCTCTGGAGGGTCTCGAGGGCGGCGCCCAGACGGAAAACCATCTCTGATCCGACCTTGCCGGGGTACTTTTCCTCCAGGGACCCCCAGGGGCCGCCCCCCGCGCGCGAAGTAGAAACATTGTAAAGCAGTTACCGGAGATCTCAGCACGCCTCTGGCCCGTTGGGCCGGCGAATTATTTTTGGCCATATTGAGGTATTGTTTGATTATTTTTTGTTTTTCGACAAGAATCCGCCTGTAAGGGGACATGCCCGACCTATAAGTCTAGGTCTTCCTGCTAATTTTGAGTCCTGATCTCATAGCAGCATTTTTGCGGACCACCGAGACCAATCCCAAGACCTCACTCATTCCCATGCTCCCTCTACCCCATGCTCCTCCTCCTCCTCGTCCTCCTCCTCGTCTTCCCTCCCCTCCTCAGCCCTCCTCCTCCCTCATTTTGATACCTTCCCGTCGTCCTGTTCCTGCTACTCCTCGTGCTCCTCATCCTCCCCCCTCCTCCTCTTCATCCTCCTTCCTCCTCCTCATCCTCCTCCTTCTCCTCCTCCCCCCCCCTTCCCCTTCCCCTTCCCCCTCCCCCCTGCCTCCTCTCCCTCGCCTTGCTCCTCTTCCCCCCCCCCGCTCGGGAGGGCCGCGCCGCCCCCCAGGCGGACGGGCTGGTCCGAGGAGCGGCTCCTGGAGCGGCCCAGGAGCGCCTCGCGCGGGCGCGCGAGGCGGCCGTCCGCGCCTCCCGCGGGTCGGCGGAGCGGGGAGGGGGCAGGGAGACAGTGGAGACCCATGCCAAGAAACACCCTGCGTGCCTCCAGGGTGCCCAGGATTTCTTGGCTTTCGATGGTTTATGGACAGCGTGACTTTCCCACACCAGAAGTCAATGGACGTCCTGGGGTTCCAGGGTTGGGGTAACTTGTGGTCGAGCCCCTACTGGAAGAATAGAAGAAAAACCGGCATGAACATGAACTGTCGGCGCTCCGCGCGGATTTCTTGGATCCGCGCTGTGGCCCCCCGGCGGCGCCTCCGGCCGGCGCCGCCCTTGGCGCGCTCCGCGCGCCAGGGAGGGGGGTCTAGCGCAAATCCAAGAAATCCGCGCGGAGCACCAATCTTCTTCTGAAGAAGCACCTTGCTTGCATCCAGGTACCCTGGGTTTCTTGGGTCTCGATGGTTTTGCAATGGAAAGCGCGACGCTTCCACACCAAGAGTCAAGGGACGTCCTTGGGTCTCAGGGTTGGGTTTCTTGTGGAAGGTTTCTTGTGGTCGAGCTCCTGCTGTATGGGAGGGGGGGGGAGGATGATGACGATGATGATGATGATGATGATGATGATGATGATGATGATGATGATGATGATGAAGATGAAGATGAAGATGAAGATAAAGATGAAGATGAAGATGAAGATGAAGATGGTGGTGATGGTGATGATGATGATGGTGATGGCGATGGTGATGGTGATGGTGATGGTGATGGTGATAGTGCTGATGATGATGATACTGATGATACTGATGATGCTGCTGCTGATGATGATGTTGATGCTGAAAGTATGATGATGAGATTGATGATGATACTGCTGATGATGCTAATGATGATGTTGATCATGATGGTGCTGTTGATGGAGATGGTGATGATGATACTGAGGATGATGATGATGAGGATGATGATGATGATCATGATGATGATGGTGATGGTGATGGTGACGATCGTGCTTGATGATGCTGTTGTTGATGCTCATGCCGTTGATGATGCCGAAACTGATGCTTGCACTGATGTTGTTGTTGATGCTTGTTATGTTGAGGATGATAGTCCTGGCAATGATGCGCGTGGTGATGATGCTGCAGGCGACGATGGTGAGGATGACGATGTGATGGTGGTGTTGGTGATAGTGATGGTGACAATGATGCTGATGCTGATGATGATAATAATGAAGATGCTGATGATAATAATGATGATGTTGATGATGTTGTTGATGATGATGAGTACGATGATGAAGGTGAGGGCGAGATGGAGGGAAACACTGAAGTAAGCGTGTCGGTAGAGGTATCCTCAAAAAAAGGCACCTGGACGGGCCTCGAAAACGTCATGTTCTGATGAGGATGTTTCTTCTGATGACAATGTTTACGGTGCTCGGCGGCCCGGGCCATTTGGACATCCATGTCCTTGTTGTCTTTGGACAGCTGTAGCGCTCGCGGAGCGAGATCTTGGGGCCGTCTTGGAGATCTCTTGGTGGTTAGACGTGTCCCCGGAGCCCTTTCCCACGGCGGCACGGACAATTTAGACATCCATGTCCTTGTCGCCAAGAGACGGCAGGAGGCGCTCTCGGAGCGCTCGGAGTCGCTCGGGGGGCCATCTCGGACATTCGGGGGTCCCTCGTGTAATCTTGGAGCCCGCTGGAAGGATCGGAATGCAGTGGAAACCCATGCCAAGAAGCACCCTGCTTGCCTCCAGGGTGCCCTGGGTTTCTTCGGCCTCGTTGGTTTTGCCATGGAAAGCGCGACGCTCCCACACCAAAACTCAATGGACGTCCTGGGGCGCATGCCATGACAAGCAGTGCATAGCATGGTTCAGCGTAACACCGCACTGGTTAGCATAGTCTGGCGCAGCAGCTCAAAACCTACCATCTTGCATCATGACATTACATAGTATAGCACAGCATGGCGCAGCACCACACACTAGTTAACACTGTAACGCTTCATCTGTCCTAGTCCATAGCTGGGCGTCTGATCACCAGTTGACCAGCCGACGAGCGTGGAGTAGAAAGAGGAGGGATGAGCAGGGGGAGAGAGGAAACGATAAATGGACAGCCGCTTTTTTCATGACCACCTCCCTGTGCTCCATACAATCAGCGTTGGAATGGGTAGAGCCTAAGCGCGGGGGATGCGCGCGCGTATATGTATATGTAAATATGTATGTATCTCTATAGTTGCACTATACACTGAATGCCTGCATGCGCATAGAAAACTGATCTGGGACAACTTCGGGCGCGGCCGGGAAGGCTAATTCCAGCCCCGACGGCCCCAGATGGCCCCAAGACGGCTTCGGAGGGCCCCAGGAGGCTTCAGAAGGGCCCAACGAGCTACCCAAGACGGCCGCGATGGGCCCAAGATGGCCCAAGATGGACCCAAAATGGCCACTCGACGGCCCAACGGGCCCCCCAGATGGCCCAAGGGGGGCCGAAGACGACTCCCAAGAGGCCCTGGGGAGGCAAAAAAAAATGTTGTTGTCCAATGGTTTCGGTGCCAGTTTTGCATAGTCGGCTTCTCGGTCTCCACAGCGGTCGAGACGGCCGAAGAGTCCCCGAGATCCCTCCAAGATGGCCCACTAGGCGCCCAAGAAGGGCTCCAAGACGAACCCAGGACGGCACAAGAGGGGCCCAAGGCAGCACAATTGGTCTCCCAGCCCCAGAGCAGCCCAGAGAGGCCCCCAAGATTGCCCTGAGGGGCCAAGACGGTCCCAGAGGGCCCCAAGACGTTCCAGGAAGCCCCGAAGACGGCTTGCGAACGGCCTCAAGAGACCATGAAGAGGACCCATTCGGGACCCTGCAGTAGTACGGCGACGGTCAGAATACATGTATATACGCAGACCTACCTATCTATCTACCTACCTACCTACCAACCTACCTACCTGCCGAACTACATGCAGACATACAATACACTACGCTACACTACACTACACGACACTACACATACATGTATGCATGTTCACATACACGCTACAGACATACATACCTATACGACCATCCTTCGGGTGATAAGGAGGTTGTGGGTGGGGGGAGAGGGGGGGGAACCAACATCTGACTCAATCGATCTCACTATCGATCTCACTCAACGGGGCACCATGGGATACCACGGGACACCACGGGACACTTGTCGATCTCAATATCGGTCTCACTATCGATCTCACTCAACGGACACCACGGGACATCTCGGGACACCACGGGACACTACGGGCCACCACGGGACACCACGGGACACCGCGGGACACCTCTCGATCTCATTATCGGTCTCACCATCGATCTCCTTATCGATCTCACTGAGCGGGACACCATAGGACACCACGGGACACCTCGGGACACCACATCGATCTCACTATCGATCTCACGATCGTTCTCACTATCGGTCTCACTCCACGGGACACCTCGGGACACCTGTCGATCTCACTATCGATCTCATTATCGATCTCACTCAGCGGGACACGACGGGACACCTCGGGGCACCACATCGATCTCAGTATCAATCTCACTATCGATCTCACTCAACGGGACACCACGGGACATCACGGGACACCTGTCGACCTCATTATCGATCTCATTATGGATCTTTTCCAACGGGACACCACGGGACACCTCGGGGCACCACATCGATCTCACTATCGACCTCACGATCGATCTCACTCAACGGGACACCACCTGACATCACGGGACACCAGCGGGACACCGGCGGGACACCGCGCGGCACCGGCCGCCGGAGGAGAAACAGTTGGTCCCGCCGCGGCCCAGCCACAGGAGGATTTCGGGACATCCGCGGCGGGACACCGGCGGGACACCGCGCGGCAACGGCCGCTGGAGGAGGTACATTTGGTCCGGCCGCGGCCCAGCCACAGGAGGATTTCCTCTCGCCCGCCCGCGCAGCTTCGCCTCGCCCGCACACACGCACGGCACGCACGACACGAACCCGAAACCGAAATCGATTTCCCCGTAAGGGGGGTCTCCGTTTCACGTAGACCGTCGCCGCAGTCATTGGTGCCTCAGTGCGGCGTATGATCGGTTTGGGACGGCTATGGTGCGCGGTCGTTTGTGAGTTTCGAGGGGGGCTGCTGGCGATCGCGGGGGTCTCTTTGGGGCGGAGGGCTCGACACCTCAATTCGAGGCATTTCTTGTGGACCCCTATGATGGCCGCCTTGAGCGCGTCTTGGGCCGTCTTGGGGCCCTCTTGGGGCATCTCGGGGCCCTTTTGGGGGCATCTTGGGCCGTCTTGGGAGGCTTCTGGGGCAGCCCTGGACGCCAAGAAGGCTGCTAAGTCGCATACACGAAAACTGTATGTCTTCACGGGGGGATGTGTTGATTTGCGCCTGTTGAAGCTTCCTTGGGAGGGCTCTAAGAGGCCTCTTGGGGCGTCTTGGAGGCTTCTTGGAGCGTCTTGGAGGCCTCGTGGGCCGTCTGGAGGCCATCTGGGCGTCTTGGACCGATCGGTCGGCGACCCGGGGCCCTCTTGGACCAGCTGAAAGGCCTCCTGGAGCCACCATTGGCCCGTCTTGGGGCACTCTGGGGCCCTCCAGGGGCGCCCCCGACAAAGCCCGGCTGGCGCGCCAGAGATCAAGGCAGAGATCCGTGCTTTAAGTATGTAAGTACCCATTCTATCAGCACAGCTACATACATTCAAATAGGACTCAGAGATGCGCTTTGTGGGTCAGTAGGGTCCCCCAGTCCTCGCGGCTCCACAGGAGGGAGCCCCGAAAGGGCCTCGAGTCTGACAGAGGGTGCCAAGAGAGAGCCCCGAAAGGGCCTCGAATCTGACAGAGACGGACCCCGAAAGGCCCAAGATGCCCCAAAGACTGCCTGAGATGCTCTCAATACTGCCCAAAAGGCCACTCGAATGCCCCAGGACGGCCCCAAGTCCCAAGAGGGCCCCGAGAGGCCAAAATCATTGATCCCCCGTAGGTGTTGAAATCATTTCGAGCGACTCGCGCTTTCGAGTGTCTGTGCCCCCAGGACGGTCCAACAGGCAC